ATCCAATCAGAGCTCTAGGATAAGCCCATGACACAGAAAAACGTAAGGCCGTAAACACATGGGTGCGTTCCCATTCATTTCGTTTCAGTGCAGTAGCCAGTGGTCGCCATTTTGCTGGATACTGCACTGGAGAAGCGTTCCCAAATGACTGGATACTGGCTAGTGACGTCATACATACATACAGGCTGCCTTCCCATAGTCCCTTTGCCAGTCAGTAAAATAATATTACTAGAGTGACGTCATCTTACTGACTGGAGAAGTGTTCCCATTCTCGCCAGTAAAAAGTGACGTCAGGATTTGTTGCGTTTCTATGCCCTACGCTTTCTACAGTTTTCGTTTCATATTACAGTTTCATTTCATATTTTCGTCATCAGTGATCTTCATTGAATAGGTAAGTAAATAATATATATTCCATGTAGCAAATGTTTACTTGCAACTCTGTAATATTTCGGTACCGGAACGAAATCGTTGTCTAACCTCTTTAGTCGCCGGGATCAATTATTTTAAGACATGGGTACCGAAATATTACAGAGTTGCAAGTAAACATTTGCTACATGGAATATATATTATTTACTTACCTATTCAATGAAGATCACTGATGACGAAAATATGAAATGAAACTGTAATATGAAACAAAAACTGTAGAAAGCGTAAAGGTTGGATTATACTGGCCGTAATCTATTAACTTATGCTGTAATCTGTAAAAATTGACCAATTATAATCGATTATTCCCCTCTCATTCGACTGTGATTGGTCAATTTTTACAGTTTACGGCCAGTATAAATCAACCTTAAGGCATAGAAACGCAACAAATCCTGACGTCACTTTTTACTGGCGAGAATGGGAACACTTCTCCAGTCAGTAAGATGACGTCACCCTAGTAATATTATTTTACTGACTGGCAAAGGGACTATGGGAAGACAGCCACAGCCTCGCCAGCCTCGCACGCGTAATATAAAAATTTTAATAGTGTTGAACAGAATTATTGCTAGTAGAATCATCATTGCTAACAGAATTATTGCTAGTATTATTGTTAGCTTATTGAAAAAATAGAATTATGTACAATAATTTGTTTTTCAACGTGATTATACAAACATATGTTATAACCGTCGTTAGAATATATGAAAATAACGCTAACACTTATTGATATTGTCAATTGAAATAATTACTTATCAATACAATAATCTTTACTAGCAATAAATAATGTTTCAACCTTAACTGTTCAACATTATTCAACACAATTTTTAGGTTATTACGCGTGCGAGGCTGCATGTATTTACGACGTCACTAATCAGTATCCAGTCATTTGGGAACGCTTCTCCAGTGCAGTATCCAGCAAAATGACGGCCACTGGTTACTGCACTAAAACGAAATGAATGGGAACAGTATAACCATAGAGATTCTATAATAAGAGTTTGGCCGAAGCGGACCAAAGATGGCGGATAGAAGGAGATAACAGATATTGCTTTCTTTCTCGTATTACGCTATGTGTCTCTTTCTATTCTCCGAACTCGTTTTCCGACAATGTACAAAGCTATCCGAAGAATGCCGAATGGACCAAGGTAGAGAACCAATCAAAAGTTGGGCCCGCTTTGGCCAAACTCTTATTATAGGATCTCTATATAACCATACCCAGTAGCGACACTAGCCGGTTTGACCTTGACCAAATTTCAGTCGCATGCGTGAATTTGTACATTTAACAATATGGATGCGTCCAGAGTATAAGTATAAGGCCTATCGCACATGAAATGCATAACTGTGCATAAGCATAACATAAGGCCGCTGGACCAATGACCATCCAGCATAAAGACGCCATATTGGTTAACATAAGATGCTCATTGGTCCAGCGGCCTTATGTTATGCTTACGCGCAGTTATGCATTTCATGTGCGATAGGCCTAAGAGCCCCAACACACACTTTTGCATAAAGGTGCCTTTTCACGAGCTGCTGAAACTGGCCGTTCCAGCGACAAAAAAGATTAAATGATAAAAATTGACGAATAGCAAGCGAATATGACGCTTGCTATTCGTCAATTTTTATCACATGACCTTTTTTGTCGCTGGAACGGCCAGTTTCAGCAGCTCGTGAAAAGATACCTTAACGCATAAAGCATGTGCATAAGGAATTTCATTGGCCCATTTTCTTATGCATGAGTCAATGGACCAATCAAATTCTTTATGTATATGGTTTATGCGTTATGCAAAAGTCTGTGCTCCCCGCTTAAGTATTA